AGATTCTATAGGGTAACACTTGGATTGTTTCCAAGGTCAAAAACCTTGTAAGCACCTCAGACCTCATTTAAGGATTTTACACTCACAGTTATGAATTATTCATGAGTATTTTGGAAATCTTCCTATCAGAAGATATCATACTTTTCTTAATCAGAAGCAAGTATGTCAGCTATAGGAAGCAAGCTCATGGCACATTACACTAGATCAATTTAATGCTTGATTTTTCATTGCTTATAGATCAATTCATATTCATTCTACAAAATCGGCGAGACTTAGTTGACTATTTCCAAAAACAGTCACATTCTTTTTCACACACTATTTTGCTCTGAAAATTACTGCAAAACCTAAAGGTTCAGATTCTGAAAAATGCAACCAGCTATGGAGGTACTTTAAAAAAAGTGTAGTTTTAGATACCCAATACCAACAACTTTGTTTGTGCTCTTTCAAAACAAGTTATTTAAGCAGATTTCTATAGCTTTGAGAAACAGTATTTCTCAAAATAAAAAAAAACTCATTTTACCATCTTCGATTAACACCATTTGACACATGAAGAATTTCAGTGCAAAAATTAATAGGATATTATGTCTCGCATAGCTTTACATCAATATAACCATTTGTCTCATTGAGAAGATTTGTAACAAACAGGCTGGGCAGAAAGTGTCTGTGTGTGCCTTATTTCAGTCCTTCCCCAGAATTCTTCCAAATTTCTTCAAACATCTATGAATCCTGCGGAAGTCCAACCAGTCTCCCAACTGCTTTTCTGCCTCCTAAGGGCCACAATTTGTCATGAAACAAACAGGTTTATAAAAAAATTGTTAAAGTTGTGAAAAAACTCAAAGTATTTAGAGGCTGAAACATACTGTAAGTCCACTGAAAGGAAGTGTATGTTACAGAAATCATCAAGGTGGTGTCCCCTTTATGCCTCTGTACTGTAACACACTTAAGACTATTTTCAGATTAATTTTATACATAAGTATAGCCTTCATCACAGCTGAAAGGTTACTGAAAGACAGCGTACTCTTTCTATGCAACTTTTTAAAATAAAAGAAATCAAAACCACACTGTAGCATAAGACAACACAACAAATACTTATCAGGCAAATGAGGCCTTGTCTCATACATAGGGAGAAAAATAAATTATACTAGGGTGCATAAACACTTAACGTAAGTATATTTTATATATAGGCACACAACATGGCTAAATTTATATCTGCTATTTTATTTTGAATACAGAAAGTGACAAAGTATTTCTCTGGAGCTGTACTTTATAACAGATAAATTTAATAACAGGAAGGAGTAGGTTTATACCTCTAGTGTCTCAATCTTGATAAACATAGGTCCAAGAGTTATGGATCCCTTATAATTACTTGCCCAGTAAGAGGTACAGTTAGTACTCTACAGTACTTTTAATGTTTCTTCACTGTATGAACCCCAGGAGTCTGGAGAACTAAATATGACTCAGAACTTCAAATTGTTTTGCTCGTTTGGAATGTTACAGCAAGGCAATTTCTGAAAGTTGACAGGATAGCATCTGAGAAAAATTCCTTTAGCTACGATTGTCCAAAAGCTAGAGCACCTATACTCCCAATACCTGACCAATAACAGATTCACTTAAAACTGATACAGAAATCTTCTGCATCCACATCAATGCCTACACATTCATATTGCTTACCTAGACTGTCCTGTTCAGGTGAGTATTCTCTATGAAACAGATTTTCAGATTATACTTAAAAGCAGTCATATGTAAGTAAAAAAGAAAACTTCCCTGAAACTTCTAAACAAAAATGAAATTGCTAATAAAAAACTCAAACAAACAAAAAAATCCCAGCAAACATAACCCCACAGGCTATCTGAGACCTCAGTGGTGAAACTGAAAATAATAACTTACTTAATCGTTGTTTCACATAGCGTATTGAGAGTGCAAATGAGACAAATTGAAGCCAAAGGCTCTAAAGTTACTGAAACTATCTAACATGGCAATAGAAGTAAAACCATTTTTGTTTTAAACCATGATAACTGAATAGCCTTCACCTCTTATAGGCCTGAAGAAGGGAAAAGCACACTTCTGCAGAATAATTCATTAGACTTCACAGAGGTCTTTCCAGAAACTGCAATAACATGGGTTTTGCAGAAAGAAGGCAGGCACCTCAAGTTCACACTCTTGAAGAATTCACCCACATCCAAAGCTGGCTCCTGTGTAATATTCCACATGGACTATTTAAAAAAAACAAAGCACATACAAAAATACTCCGTTATTCCACAGGAGACACACAGCAGAAGGCCCCGATTCAGAAAATAGTTAAGAACAGACTTAAAAGCTGCTCTACTCATATTGACTTCAAACCTCAAAGTGCAATCCAGCTGTAGCACAAGAGGCAATAGATTTCAGAATAACCTTGCAAAGCTGAAACCAAAATAACAACCGAGGAGTTGACTATCACAGCAGTTTCTAAGCTTTTCAGCTGCAGACTGCACCTCTAAACACTTAAAAGTGCTCTCCTGGGCAACCCCATCCAGCAAAAGCCACCCCCGGGTAGTGAACTCTTCGTGTCACGGCAAACTGGAAACCCATTCGCTCCCTAGACCCCACTCCCCACGGCTTTTAACCCCAATGTGCTCCTCACCTATCTCCTCACAGCCACCCTAACCTCACTCAGTCCTCCACCGGTGATTCAGTGTAAGCTCCCTTTTCAGCCTCAGCCCTGGACCTTCTAATTCAGAAGTTTGCCCACGTTTGGAGGAAGCAGCGGGACAAGGAAGTAAGACGCGTTTAAGCAACACCACCCCGGGTGCCCTAGCTGCTCGTCTGCAGCTCCAACACCGTCAAGGAGCAGCCGGACAGCACGGTCGGGCCTCGGGAGGCGCCTCGGTGGAGAGGCGGCGCGTCACGGCAGGGAGAGAAGGGGGCTGCCCGCTGCAGCCCCTCACCGCCCGAGCGAACGGGCCGGGCCTGGCCCGGCTGCGCAGTGTGCCTGGGCAGCGAGCGGCCAGGCCGTGGCGGGGGAGAGGGGAAAAGCTACACACCCAGAAGAAGGCCGTCCATGTCAAAGATCAGGTGAGTGACTGGCCGCAGCCCGGCTGCGGAGGAGGAAGAAGAAGAGGACATGCCTAGGCCAGAGCAGCCGCGGTCCTAAGTGGCAGTTGACCGCGCAAGCGCGCTTCGCCGCGGTGGCGGGAGCGGAGGGGAGCAGGGGTGTTGTGGGGCCGGTGTGTGTGCCGGGAGCGGCGCTGGGAGCGTGGCCTTCTCTGGTTGGTTGTTTTGTGGTTCTTTTTTAAAAACAAAGCCTATTTCTCTGCATGGGGTCTCTCCTGGAGGGGGACTTCTCATTTCAGATTCCGTTTGCTGCAGCTTACGGGTCATACTGAGGAGTTGCTCAAGTTTTGACATTTTCAGACAGTGTTCCTTCGCAAAGCTTTTGTGTGAATGTGTGGAAAATTGCAAGGATAGTATTATCGCTGGTAACTGGAGCCATAAACAGGCACTAATCTATGTGAAACCATGAGGAAAGAGTAAACCCATCTCTTAAAAGGGCTGCTGGGTAGAGAAATAGTTAATTCTGGGTTTTGCATGGTGGTTTGTTTGTTGTTTTTTTGGGGTGGGGGCCGGGGGGGTGAGGGTGGGATGGTTAAGCATTCAAGAAGATCTGAAGTTCAAAAACAAACCCAGTGCTCTTGAGAAAAGGCAAAATCTCCCTGCATGGACACATCATCCAGTTCTGTCTGCGCGGTTGCAAGGGGAAGAGGTAAAACTTTGCTCATCAGCTTTCACTTCTATTTTTTTTTTAATGCAGGTAACTCACCTTTGGGCATCAAGATTGCTGAAATACTAGTTGCAGAAGCAGCTATGGAAAGAGCTCTGTCAAGCTTACAAGGTGACATACTGACTTGAAGATTTGTACTGCTTCACAGTTCCATAGGAAGGCAATGGTTAGTCGCAGCTTCATATACTGCAAGTCCTGTCTGTCTTGTCAGTAGGTAGGCCTCTTGGCAATTATTTTTTTTTTTCCTGACAGTTCCCTCATTTGAATTTGCAATACTTCACCTTTTTAGCAAGTTAGAGGTGGTCTTTAGGTGTCATACAATCACATTTGAATTGTAAGTTATCCTCCTTATGCATCTTACCTGCCTCCAAAACCTATCCCTTAAAAGAACCCTTGCCCTAGAGTTGTGAGAAATAGCGTAGTTACAAAGTCCTTATACCTCTTTTTATCTTGGAAATAGGAAAACAAATAAAACACTGTTGGCCTTTACTTGTACCTTTTTAATAATAAAACTTGACTTTCAACCTAAATTATTTGAGTTTTGGGTTGCTTTTCTGCTTGGTTTGTTTGTTTTTAACTTATTTTGTAATGATTATATTTGATAATGCTGCTTAGGTTCTGCCTGTGTAGTCTAGGAAAAAGACTGCACATTGCCTTAAATGTCTTTTAAAAATGTCATCCGTAGTCCTGATGCACACCTGTTAGGTCTTGCATAGATTTAGGAAAATGGGTCCTGTGCTTCCAGATTTTTTTTTTTTTTTTGTAACTTTGTGTAAACGTTAAGAATGCCCACAGCCATTTTCTTTCAGCAATAAATACTGTGCACCAAGTCAATATTCCAGCTTTGTTTCAGACACCAAATGTGTTTGTCTCCTTAGTGGTTCACTTAGATGAGAACATAGATAGAATCAATAGAAAGTCCTACATACGATGTGTCCAAAAAAGTGTTACTCTGTTAAAAGGAATAAAAAAATCGTTATAGTAATATCACTACTTACAATGGTAGGCATTCTCCTATTTTAAGAAAGAATGTGTTTCTGCTGTAAAAGCAAAATTTTCAAGATGGTGAGTAATGAGGTTGTGTGGCAGTGATACTTGAAGTGCATTCATCCGCTTTCTAATTAGGAGATAGTCTTAAAAAAAAGAAAAAAAAACCCTGTCTTTAGTCGTATTTGCTGGCATACAAACACCTGTACTTGTTAAAAATTAAAAATAAAAAGCAACGAACAGCATCAGTCAGATATCTTGATTTATTGTTCTAATTAGAGAAAAGCATATTTTGATCACAACTCTGGCTCTTCCATTCTTCTCAAAAGAAAGAGACTGTTTTTAGTGTTGAGTTCATCTCAGAAAACATAAGGCTTATACAAAACTTGTGATTATTTAAAGTGGAAATAAATCCTAAAGGCAACCTTTGGAAAAAAGCTTATAAAATTGAAGTGTAATCTACAAGATGAACGTTTTAGGGTTAAGTGGTTTGTGCTACATATCTTAGTGTGTGCATTTCAAGACTGTCAGGCTACCTGACAGACTGATGACCTCAATTTGCTTTGCTTTACTCCGGCTCATCAGTGATAATCAGTGAAATATTAGCTTACTTGATTCTTCAAAGCTGCATTCAAACACAAGAAAATCTTCTCAAAATAGACAAACCATTTAGGTTTATTCAGCATGACTGTGTCTTTTTACTAACATAATAAAACTCAATGAAAGACCAAGGAGAACTTTTAATTCATGGTGGAGCATAGTTTTCTAGATGCATAGTGAGAATGCTGATTTAAATTTTATTTGAGCTGTCTTAAATATTTGTCTCATTTCAACAGTAGTATTTGGGTTTTGTTTTTTTTCTTGAATGAGTGAAGAAGTTGAGATTGGGAATTATGCAGTTGATTTTTTTTGTTTGCCTTTTATCACTTATTTTAAGCCTATTTCAAGTGCTGAAGACTTTATTTTAATAACTGAGTTGTAGGAGGCATACTGTGGTGGAGGTACAGTAACTGTGAGCATGGATAGTTAATTATATGCCTGAGGACCTGATGTGTGGTTACTGGGAAGGGTGAACTTTGGCTACTGAGATGCAAGTAGACTTGAATCCCTCAACGTCTGAGGAACACAGTTAACTTCTTGTACATTTTTTTAAATTAATTTAACTTTCTATCTAGGCATATACAGAAGCAGATAAGTAAATCTCTGCCAAGTTTTATATTTTGTGGTGTTACATGATACATACATATGTGGATGTCCAGGTTTTTTAACAAATGTAAATTAGCTGCCTATAGCTTACTCTTCCTACTCCAAACCAGGCTTTTTTCTATGGTTTTGTAATAATGCATTACAATCACTTTGTTCTTGGTGTGAGATAAGGTGTAAACACTCAGGCCTGTATCCATGGGGTTATTAAGTACACAACACAATGTTTTGCATATACAGTTCTCATAACCTTTTTTAACCTTTGTATGTTTGTTTGGGATTTGTTTACCTTGGAGCTAAAATGTTTGCCACATTACTAAACTTACCTATTTTTTTTTTCTGGAAAGTAAAAGTTTCAGAATATGCGTGTTTTCTTAGGTAATGCACTTGACTCAAAAATTGCAGTTTCCTATTTCACAACTTTATATTGTGCTCGAAACGTGGATTCACTTACATATTTTTGTACCATTTACAGGAATGTCATGCACTATGTGTTTCATACAGAAATGACTGACTTTATTTTTCTTGTTCTGCAGGCGCCTTGGCAAAGAGGATAAAGAGATTATAATCCATTTTGATTTGAATCTTAAAAAAGAATCTAAAGACTTGTGTAAATCCAGTAATTTAAAAGCTTTTGCAATGATGTACATGAACAACTGTTAAACCTGCTATTAGTAACAATTTACTTGTAATGAATTAGACTTAAAAGTAATTTAATTAAACCATCAGCTGAAATTCACAACAGTTGCTATAGTTGAGCCTATAAGCCCTCAGAAAATTAAACCCCTCCCAGTGCTGGATGTCACCAGACAAGAGCTTTTTACCCTATTATTGTTTTAGTATATGTTTTTATGGTTGCAAAAGTGAAAATGAGCATGTATATTAAGGCAATTAAATAATACAATACACCTGCTGATCTGGATAATCTTTTATTCATTACATGAGTCAAAAGGGAGTCTATCCTCTTTAGCCAATCGCTTGGCTTCTTACAGCCAAGCAGGGAGGGGGGGAGGAGAGCCATCTGTTTTCTGGATTTTGCTATTTGCCACATGGGTTAGTTACAAAGGCAAGAAAGATGATGTGTTATGCTTCAAGAGAATAAAGTGAAGAAGATACGTGTTGGTCATCCATAAATTTAGATGAGGAACTGTAAAAAGGCTTTTAAACAGCAATGAGGAGTGAAATTCTGGAAAAGCCAGCCAAGCACACAAGAGACAAGAAGAACTCTTAAGATATTTTTAGATGTCCATTGCTGCATTTATTGATGGGATGGTACAACAGAACAATTGGTTTCTGAAGCTGAGAAATGAAGCTTTAATGCCATGCTTCAGGGGCCTTTTTTTGTTTCCACTCAAGTCAGTGAGAATAATTTTCTCTCTTCTATGGTTTGTGAATTAGCTTTTTCGACATAATTTTTTGTCTTCTAGTAAAACATTGGCTGCACACAGGCAAAGTTTTAAGGTAATTAGCAGTGTCATTGTAATTGAAATCCTGAAGTGCTTAGTGGTCCCTTAGCCTTAAACTACCAGAAAGATTAGGGCAGAAGGGATTGCATTTCCTTCATTTGCAGCTTTATTTATCTAACTTTCCAGTGTTGCAGGAGCCTAAAAGTTTGGTCATGCTGTTCGTTCTCTTTCTTGTCTGCATGTGAATTTTATAGCTATATTTTTTTTCATTTTACTACAGTTTGATTGTTACAGATTACAAGAAAAAATTTGTAGTGCCATGTGGAATACACATTCTGTCAACCTTCCTGAACAAGACATCTGTCACTTGGTTGCTGGCAATAAGGGTGGAACTGAATGCACTGACCCTTCCAGTGGTCCCTTTCAGTCTTGTTCAGCTCAACCTCTTCAAAGGCTGCAACAATTACAGCTTCAGATGGAAGAGAGATAGAAGGATTGTGATTCTCTGGGTCACAAGGTCTCTAAGCTACTGATCTGTAATGCTTCAGAGTCAGGTTTTATATGTGTGTTCCCCACTCAGCATGCAACAAGCTGTAGAACTGAATTTCCAGAGCTCAGACATTCTGCTTACTTTGTGCGTGCATGGCCTTACAATTTTGTACCTACCCAGAAGAGTCAAGCAGAGATAAACAAATGAGCTTGCCAACACTCAGCCTAGAATGTTTGTCTACATGATCAGGGTAGTCATCCTACCTGCCTAGGTAGTGCAGGGAGACATACCTTGAGGAATAAGGTTCAGTGTGTTGTAACAAAATATATGAGAAAATAATGTAGTCTTATTTCCTATTTTATGCTTTGAACTAGAATTTTCTTAGCAGAAGGTAAAGAGCAGATACTTGTTTTCATAAAACATTTGTAAAATGGAAACACCACTTGTAAATACTGATACAGTCAGATATTAGGGCTACCTAGAAGGAAGCATATAGTCTCAGTACTGTGAAGCCAGTGAGATCCTGATTTTTTTTCATTTTTTTATTTCCTAAGACAACTAGCTGCACCTACTAAGCGCATCTGAACCATTTCACCTGGATGAATGATTCTCACAGTGATACTGCAGGATTGAAAGATTCCTAGATTTTCTTTTCATGTATGTTTACATGCTGGTAAGGCCAGAACAGATGTTCAAGACATAGATGAATTATTTGAGACAGAATTGTGTATGTTTAAAATGTCTGTCCAGACATTCTGCCTAAAATTTTCCAAGTCTTTGCTCTTCTAGGATATCTTTGTTCTTCCTCTATATTTTTTCAATTTTTTTTTTTTTTTTAACAAATTTCATTCCTTTAACCTTTCCTCATAAGTTAATGCTTTCTGAAGCTTTCAGCATTTCATTTGCTCTTCAGGATTCCAGTTTTTCTGTATCCTTAGAGAAGTCCACCACTCAGATATGTTTTTATAGCTGTGGGGTTCATAAGTGACAAATAGAAAGGCCATGTTTTACTAATAGGCTGCCTTCTTAGGTACAGCATAACTTTGAATTAACATAAGAATTGAATTAGCTCTTTTGCCATAGTTTTATTTCGTTCAGTAATGAATGATTTGTAATTCTTACGAATATTTTTTACTACTCCTGCTTAGGTTGTTCCCATTTTGTAGTAAGCCAAAAGCTTTTGCTGCCATTTGCTAATTTTAAAATTTTCTTTATGGATCACTTCTAGCTGTATCCTCATTAATTAAGAATAGTCAGTATTATACTTCACTGTTAAGAGATCACTGGCAACAGATCTAGCCCATGAAGAGCTTACTACCTCTTCATACAGTTTAAAATATTTTTCTGCGTTTTTAAGTATGAAACATTTCTATCTTGCAAGCCTGGTAAGGCAACTATTTCCAAAAAAGCTGTGTTACAAAATGAATCCTTGTATCACTATTTCAAAAATGTTGCATGTGTCACTTAGCCTGGTGGCTGCTGCAACTAATAGGGAATGAGTGTTACAGTAATGAACACATTTGACAGCCTGACTGTGTAATCTGTTTTTCACTGGCTTTTCATTTTTAGGCCAACAATTATGCCCTTATCTGGAAAAATTAGACTAATGCAATTTTAAAGAAATTATTAACAAGACTTTTAATATTAAAGATGGTTATATGTCCTCATTAAGTAAGATGTGCCATCCAGAGACTAGCCATCTAGCCATCTTGTTCCGTGGTCATGAAATGAGGTAGGGTTAGGCTGTGCTCTTGAGCTACAGAGCTCTGACGAAAGCATCTGTGTTTCATGAAGCGCAAAGCTCCGCTCAGTAGGTGGCATTCTTGTCACTGACATTTGTCACAAGTATCTTCTGGGGTAGTGCTGGCACTAAAGCTGTTTAAAGTTGGTGGGAATATAGTAAACCTTTTCCCATTTTCAATTTTTTAATATATTTAGCTGGGTGATTGTTGCTTCTTGAAAGACCTGACAAAGGGTTGGAATGTACATACCTATCTGCTTTTTCTGACTTCATCACATACATTATTCATGTAGATTCAATGGAATATACTTTTCCTGTTTGCGCAAGACCACCTTTCCTTAAAGATCCTGTTCTGTTTGTGAGTAGAGGTGGCTTAGTCAAGTACCTGAGAGTTAGAAACTATGGCTATAGTGACTACTAAACCTGGATCTTTATTCTTGCGTGGTATAGTCAGTATGTTCCTCCAGCTAAACTCCTAGCTAAACTCTTAACTAAAGTTTAACACAACCATGATAAAAAATAACAAAATCATTAGAACATGTCACTGACTTCCATAATAAAAGCCATTATGACTTCCTCAGAACTGTACAAAGCCCTCTGCACAGATTTCACAAGTTTGTGTAATGATTCCCCTGCATCCCTCAGGGTAACTACATAGATACAGAATTTTTAGACTGAAACTTGGCATTAGTGGTTTTGGTCAAAGCCAAAGAATAAAGATTAAACGTCTTTTTTTTTTTTTTGCTGAAGATTTGTTACAGCATAAATATTGTCTAATATACAATAATCCAATTTTTATAAAGACCCTAGGAACAGCAGAGCTGCATTTTTTAATTCTGGACAAGTGTGACTTTCAAAAGCATTTTCTGAAATTAGCTAGGTTCCTTGGGTTTTACTGTACTGAGAAGCAAGTATCCTTCATTCCATTTTTAGCTCTGTTATTGGTTTATCACATTAAATACAAGTTTGTATTAGCAGGTTTATGTGGAAGCATAAGCATTTAGGTGTGTGCCAATATTCAGTCAGTCTAAGAAAGCAGTGCATCATGTTTCATTTTTACAAAGATATACCTGTACTGTAGCTGGTAGATGAACACTTTGTGGTGCAATTGAATTTGATCCTAAACTTCCAAAGCTTTGGCAGAGATATTTTAATGAACTGAGACAAAAGGTCTATCTCATGGTAGCTCTGCCTCTCCGCTAGATTAAAATAAATCCAGTCATGCATCTTTTCATCTCCTTTTCGTTCCAAACACAATTAAAAAAAAAAAAATTCCTTTACCAATTCAGTGAGTTGAACTTTGTTATACATATGAATGTTCAAATATAAATGTGTAGATACTGTCTCCCACTTGGTGACCAGAAGACCAAAGTATCTAAAAACCGACGTTTCTAACAAATTATGAAAGAAAAAATGAAGTTGAACCCTGCATTCATATCCATGTGGGGGAAAAGACATCTAAGGACATGCATTTCTGACCAAGTTTCCTGGTGGAAAATACATAAATTGGGGTGGAGGGAAGAGGATAATATGTAAACTAGGTAGCACTTTTCAAAGTTTTATGAATGATTTTTTTTTTTTTTTTTGTATTAGGGTCCTCGGACTCCCTGGGAGCAGTCATTTTCCGGGAGTACAGAAGTTTCTAAGACAATGTACAGTGAACAAACCAGGATGGGCTACTACTGGGTGTGTTTATAGGCAGTGAATCTCTGTAATTCTATGCCTCTGATGGAAAAGTTTGAAAAAACTGAAGTTATGCTTTAAAAGGGGTTTTAATGCAGTTTCTCAGAAGTTGCTACATTCAGCAGGAATGTTTACCATGTGTACAGAAGGCGGGAATATACCTGAAATTGGCACTGCACATGTTTTCCAGAAATATGGTGCAAAGCCACTAGCATTTGAAAAGCCTAACAGGAGATCTTGAGTAATAAACTGAAACAAGTTTGTTGCTGCTTTTAGTTTATTATTTGGTTAGGCATGTGTGTATAGGTGTTATGAAAACTTACTGAGATTATTTCTTACTAGTGAAGTAGCAATTGTGTTAGCATTGTATAGTAAGTTGTCTTTTTCAGTGTTGTCCTTCCTTCCCTCCGCCCTTCTGTTTTCAATTCACGTGACTGGACTTTGTATCCATTTATCCACAATCAGTGTAGAGCCATCTTGTTTGAAAACCAGAGACAGAAACAGAAACAAATTCCGTGCTGCAAGGTAAAATGCCCCTCCTGCCCCAAACTCTGTCATTTATATATAGTTATATGTAATTGTAAACATTGAGCTCATGTATAGTTGGAGTTCATATTCTTTCACAGCTCAAAACAATATCTTCATGGCAGGGAATTAGCAATTATTAGAAGTAATTAACATACACTGTATTGTCTTTTCCTCTTTAACTTAATGCAGTCTGTTTTTAGGTAAGGAAGGAAAAAGGTAAGTTAATACTGTCTACTCTTGTTTTTAAGATACTGTCAACTATGGTGGTAAGTTATTTTGCAACAAAATGGACTTTGTTATTAGGGATTGCAATGAGGTAGAACATTCCCTGCCTGCAACAGGTTAAGGAGTATGTAAGCTTTACTTGAATAGTGAAAGCATTTTGAACAAAAAAGCAAGCAGGGTGTTTGTGAACAAGAACATTTTCCAGCTGTGAAACAGTGTTTTTTCTCTTACCACTTAAGCTCTGGTTGTTTAAAAAGTAATGTTAAAAGTGTATGTAATTTTGATTATGGACTCTTTTTCAAGAATCAAATGGAAATGAATTGTTAAACAGTCTTGGAGGGGGGTTAGGATCTAAAATAAGCTTGTGGTTTTGAAGTGACTATGGTTTGTGTGCAGTGTATGTAATGTGACAAAATCCACTTGATTCAAAGCCTGCAAGACTTAACTGTACCTTACAAAGTTATATTAAATAAATCTAATGTCTTCCTTTGTGATCTTTTACAAATCCAACCTGCTGGCTGAGGGTAAACATAGCTACTGAAGAGTATATATAAGGGTAATCTCTGGGAGAGAGGATGGCAAGGAATAATAGGCAAAGAGAAAAGGTAAGGAAAAAATAATCACTTCTGAATAGGTTGTATCTGCCAGGCTTAAGCAGAAGCTCTACATTTAGCAGCCATGCTGAGAGAGAAAGAAGGAAGATGAAAGAGAAGACTAACCAAAACAAGTGTTAGAACAGAAACTGACCAGGCATATTGCCTGCTATGCAATTTTGTAATTACTTGCTAAGGATATGGATTCCATACATCCTGTTTTATCACAAATGTTTTTTTTTCTGCTTCTGCCCTTAGGGTGCTCTCTAGGTGTATTTTAGTAAATGCAAACCTGTGTTAAATCCCTGTCAGACCAGCAGCTGAGGCTGCTTTAACATCTGGAGAACCACAGATGTTTGGCAATAGGGATTGCTGTATATTGCTGGCCAGTGGAAAAGCCTGTGCTGTGAGGAAAGAAGTCATGTAGGACGAAAGCAGCAATGTGCAGCAGCATCAGGAGTTGTAATGGTAGAGTGATAACAGCAATATCTAGGCAAGCAGAAATGGAGTTGTTGAGGAGCTGCATCCAAGAGGTATTCAGTTTGACTTTATATTGATGACACAGAAATACAGGATTCTTGAGTAGAAAGGGATTTGGAATATGATGGGAGATGGTTTAGAAAGATTAGGATTGCAGAAGAATTTGTGTGATGGCTTCTTGATTGTATGAGAGGAATTTTGAGGGTGATGAATTAAAATCAGCTTAGTGTTAGAAGAGGGTTAGGAGGAAGACAGGATATTAGCCTGGGATTGTTAGGAAGTGCTTAACAAGAATTATGGCTATGGCACTCTGGGCTGTGAACACAGAAGTTTGAACTGCTTCAGGTTCACAGTGATAGTGATCTTGGATTTTTCACATCCTGGACAGTATTTTAAATTAAAAGATAATGGTGTAAAAATGGTCTCTTCTTTTTTCTATTGTACCAAAGATCAGCCTATTCAGAAGGAAATCTTAGAGTAGAGAGCTCAGACAGACCTATTTTCCTCTGACATTGTCTTAAACTAGCCAGGTTGGTGGTTGTATGATGTTGTATGCAAACATGCTTTCTAAAGGAACCCCTAGTGATACAAATTTTAAATAATTAGAAATAAAAGTTAGTAAGCTAGAAGGCTACTTTATTCTCTTCTTCCCCCCCCCTTCCCAGTGTTTTTATTCTGCGCTGCTGACAAAACTGGCAACTATGATGAAGAAAATTAGAAGCTGTTGACATGGATTAGTCATTTACAAAAGTTACTCTTAGCTACATAAGAAGCATCACATCTCGAGTTCATGTAAGTTATTATAATAGACAACTGAGTATGTTTTCAATTACAGCACTTGTCTAATAATAGCAGTGAACTATTAGTCCTGAAAAATGCATGTTGAACAGAGGAAACGACATGTTCTTTTTCACTGATGAACAGAATCCATCCTTTAAAAACATGAGATTGTGTTGTACCTGAAGGCATATAGCAAAGGAAAGTGTTCTTTCTCATCAACTTCTTTAATGACATTCTGATGCAATTCAAAAAGCGTGTTATTCTCTTCAAATATACTTGCAGCATGCTCTAGTCCAGGCCAAAAGGTAATGAGACCCATGAAGCTATTATTAAGTAACCTTTCAAATGTTAAAAGGAAGTTAATACTGGTTTACCACAAGAAAATGAAAAAAAAAAAAAAGTCTTTTTTTAATACTTACTATATTTATTTGTGTTCTTAAAATGTCATATAAAATAAGGTGAAAATGAAGTGAATTACTATAGTTTTGAGATAATGAAAATTTTCATTTTGCTGTGTTGTGATTTTGCCTTTTAGCTCCTATGTGCAAAGGAGCTGTGTTCTAACAGCAAGTATTTACCAGTTTCCTAGAGCTCCTATGAAAGAGAGAAAGAACTAGAGAAAAGAAAGGGAAGAAGAGAGGGAAGGAGGAGGGAAGGAGCAAGAATTTTGTACTCACACAAGGCAGAAGGAAACTGGATATGTTGTGGCCTAAATTGCTGTTTTTCCTGTATTGCTGTAATACAATATACACATTTCATTTGTTCAATTTTTTTTTTTTTTCTGTCAGACTCTAAGAACCCACTTAGTCTGTTCATGTATTCTAGGCAGATATTTTTAGTCTTAGAATTGTTTGCTGTTTCAGATATCTCTCATTTTAAGACTTTTTAATTCTAATTGTTGCCTAATCCTATCTTGTTTAAATTCTATCCCTCAAATATTTCACCAAGCTAAGTATATTTACAGTTTTTTAATTTGTTTTTATTTTGTTTTTCTGAGGGAGTAATTCAGATGTTCCTTGGTATTCTTACTGAAGTTATTAAATGATCAAATCTTTGGAATTGGGATATAAAGTTGGCTAATGTATATGCCTCATTTTGTAAATGTCTTTGCCCTTTAGCTTGCACATTTTTTTGAAGAATGTGATCTATGTAGTTTGCAATCAGGCAGCTATATAACCATTATACAGCTCATAATCCTTCTTTTCCTAATTGTACAAGTGTTCTTTCCAGAGTAAATATTTTCCTGGTTTGTAGGACCTCCTAATTTTGTGATCGCTGTGTTGTGTTTTCAAATCTGTTTCCAATAATTGTATTTAGTAATGCTTGCAATGAATAGTGCTAGTGGAGTATCTCTGCATTAGAGCTGGTTAGAAAATTACTTACCATCTTAATTCCTCCCTATTGCCATTTCTGAAGGTTTTTTTCAGCATGGTAATAGGGGAAAAAATAAAAATTTTGACTGGATAATCCTATTCTATTTGCTCTAATTTTGAATTAGGTCATAAAAAGATGGGTGGTATGTGGGTTATCTTTTAACCATGTTCAAAATAACGTGGTAAAAAAATCTCCCAGCACAAAAGAACAACAAAAGTGATTTGGTTGCGTCATATAAATGCTAAACACACTATTTTTCTAGATGTAAGAGTAAAGATCATGAATTTAATTTTTGGACATTAAACAAAAATCTATATTAATCTATATTAAAAAATATAGATTATAAAATCTATATTAAAATTCCTTTTATTTTGCCCCACTAGAAAGACTTTTGTCAAAATAATTTGGAACAATTTGTCATGAGACATGTTCACAACTGTTTCCAGGATAAGGACGTACCATTCCCTGAATATTGGTTCCATGACAGAAGTAACATAACCAGATTTTCTCTTGCTTAGAAACTTCAAAGAAGAAACTTAGTCTTCAGTAAGCAGCTACACTTGTTTATTTTAAATGTCTCTTACTTGTGCAAATTAAAAGGAAAGAGAAGCTGTTCATTTATTTCTTGTGAGCCTCCTGCTTACACCAGCAACACCATAAGTCAGCTGAGCACAACTGAATTATTTTTTACTTAAAAAGCTTTGCTATTTTTCTCCCTGGTAAAAGGTTCACTTTTAGAGTCTAGATGGATTGCATCACAGCAAAGAAACTTTTGGTTAATGGTAATCAATGAAAGCAATTTGCTGTTGGATCCATTCATCCCCTTTTCATTTTAAATGTGGTAGGTTGGCCCTGGCTAACAGCCAAGCACCCACAGCTGCTTGCTAGTTTCCTTCCCATGCTCCTGAGTGAGATGAGGGAGAAAGCAGGAAAATAGGAGGATCAGAAGTGAGAAGACTCAAGAGTTCAATTAAAGACGGGGAAACACACCTTAATAAGTACTGTCAGGGGCAAAACAACTTGGGGAATTAATGTATTGCCAGGTAGCATAAATATTTAATTTTTTATTGGAATATTGGGAAACAACAAGTACAGACATCTAAATATGCAGGAAAAACACCTTTCCTCCCACTTCTCAGGCTCAACTTCAGATTTCCTTCTTCCATCTTCCTAGTCTCCACACCTTCACTCCAGACATCTACTGCTGCATATTGTGCTCAATCCCTTCAGTGAGGCAATGGGTGGCTTATGAGGATGAAGTCAGTGCTTAGCTATGTGGAGCAGCTCCTACTGCCCTGACCTTGTTGTTCCCACCTCCTCTTCCTCTTGGTCCTGTCTCTGCCACTCCACCCCCTTCCCTCTGTGTTCATTCCCCAGAGTGGTTTTTGCCCTTTCTTAAATATATTTTCCCAAGATGTTGCCAGCTTGTCTGACGGGCTTAGCTATGTCTGCAGTGGGTGCATTGCAGAGGCGGCTGAAACTGACTATTTGGCACAGGACAGTCCCATGTCTATTTTCCAGAGGCCTCCCCTGCAGCCCCCTTCTGCCAATACATTGGCACCCGCATTCAGTACATCACCATGAAAAAGTGATGTACTGTGATATTTTGTTTTGATAATCATGGGAGATGTTTTTGGTTTGTTTTTTTTTTTCTTATGCTTTTTCTAATGCATATGCTTTATAATAGTGTTTCTGGGAAAGAGCGCAAAGGCTGGACATAAGTAATAGCCCAGATACAACCATTTCCTCTTAATTAGTTCGCATCCCTTCTAATACAGCCATTCTCAGTCTCTGCAATGGGACAAATTGAACAGGTCCTTGTGGACAAATGAGAGGGCTGCTTGCAGTACCATTTTATCCATTGAATGATTTGAGTATATCTGTATCATATAATGAGTACACTGTTACTCTCTCTTTTCCCACCCCTTGTGTGACAGGACTGTCCCATGATGAGAATAAATGTGTCTCCCGTGGTGTGATGGGCGTCAGGAGAACATGTGTAATACTTGAGCATGTGAATAGGTTCATTCCAGTGAGACACTATCAAATTGTATGCCATCCACATGAATTGCTTGATACTGCCCATGCAGTTGAACAGACTTTTTCTTGTTATATGTCAGGAGCTAAAGCGCTTTTTCTTCTGTGAAAAGGAACTTGTGAAAGGAAGTAAGAGGATCTAGCAAAAACTGGCCAGTCACAGGCTGGTTTAGTTGCCATGTGTGCGTAGCCCTTAGGCAAGAGGGCAGCAGGGAGTGGGCAGTGAGCAACAGTCAGGCTGAGCTCGTAGTCTGTTGGTTGGTCATCTCTGACAACATCTTCCTTGAAATATTGTCTGGCTTGAGTAACAGTATTGAATGTAATTTCTAGATAGAATATTAATCAGGTTACTGTACAGTCTGGAAAGGACGAATACTTATACATCCTTTAGAGGAAAATTTTCCAACTAAAACTCATGAACACTTGTCCCCAGTTCTCAGATTTCAGTGGAACTATTCACAGAGTAAGAAATTGTTGCATCAGTAAGTTTGCTAGGGCACATTATACTAATTGAAAAGTAATGTAGTGGTCGTTTATTGCACAAAGTTTTTTTCTTATTTTATGCTGAGCACAAACAGGCAATGCACCATCAAATTGGGATTTTTTTTATGTAACTTTATTCCTTTTTGTATATATCCAGTCTAAACTAGATATTTAGGCTCTCTTTGTAGTCTGTGGAAAAAGATCGTGAGCATCACTTCCAACATTTCATTATACCAATCTTAAGGAGAGATGAATCATCCTCTTAAGGTGCCTGTCTCCTCCCATTAATTAGAAAGCAAGCCTAGATAATTAGCTCATTCTAAATGCATAACTTTAAGATGAATAAATTCAGATGCACCATGAGTGTCTAGTTGATATGGGCCATGTAGGCATTTAACTTCTATGTGGCTAAAATAAATATTGGCTGAATAGCAACCTTTTCTCAATTTTTGTATCTAAATCAGTCAGTTATAATGAGAGCCCTTGAGTATTATCAAAATGCAAGTATAAATAACAATAGAGCTGTTTTAAAAATCATAATCCTACACTTTGAGAATGAATTAATGCAAATGCAAGTTCTCTTTTCTTTACGTGAAACATCCTTTTGGAAACACTTTTAACATACTGGATTATTTTACTGGTGTGTTACTTGCTAGCTTTATGAGGCAAAGAAAAATTAACTGGCCATTTCACTGCAATTTCTCTGGTAAACCATTTTGACTAGAAAAGTAGTTATAGATAGAAGACTATTATGTTATAAAATCCAAAGCTTTGATCTTGACAGACTTCAGAGGATGCCAGTGAGTAACTCAGGGGAGAGTGATGGGTTTGGGGGTGTTGAAGGGTGTTTATTTATTTGGTTTAGGGGGGGTTGTTTGTTGTTTTTTTGTTTGGGTTTGTTTTGTTGGTTTTTTTTTTCTGTTAGGTTTAATGATTTCCTGTGACAGGCATTTGAATACTACTGTTTCAGTGAAAAAGGGTTAGAAATTACTTCAAATTGGATGAAATTAAAATCCAGTGTTAATTGGTTGATCATTTGGCTTACTGTCCCTCCAAAGACTTACAGCAGGACTCACGTACCAACCTTCAGATCTGTGCAGTATCCCTGTGAAGGAAGTGTATTGGTGGAGTCTAGTATCTTATTCTGATATTGCATGTAATTAGATTTTTTTCCTTTTTAAACATTTTATGGAATATTACTTTGAAGATGAACAGAAACTCAAAGGAGATCAGTTTGGCTATAGTTGGGTGAAGGTGAAGAGACTGTAACCACTCAATTATATTAAGATACAGTTTATATTACAAAAGATAATCTTGTCTTCTCTTCATATTATAATTTGCTACCCAAAATAATGTTTACTATTTATTAATACTGCCATTAAAATCTGTAATTTAATTTAGCTAACACTAGCAAGTTCTTGAGAAAACATTTAAAAAAGATAAATTATTTACCTTAAGTTGAACTTGTATCTGGTGGATGCTGTGTGGCTTCATCTCTATTTGATTCAGACACAATAATTAATCTTGCTTGAGCAAGAAACATGATTATTTTCTCTGGTGTTCTTCCGAGCTCATGTTAAGCAAAATTTCTGTCGTGCAATGAGACAACTTTTAATAAATTTAATACTGATTTTCATTTTTGTACATAGTTACCTGAAGATGCACACTGAAATCTAATGGCACTCTTCAGAAAAATGTTATGGTGTTTTTACAGACACAAATATCAATCAGTTTACAGATACAGAGAGACACAGCCTTCTGTGACCACACCGTGAGAGGGCTGAATGCAAATCAGTTCCAACCTGGGAAAGAAATAGTCATCCTAATCTGGCACTGAATCTGACGTGCCTAACCAGTAGGTAGGATGGAAGACGCCTATGTCTCTGGAAAAAAAAAAAAAACCAACAACGACTAATAAGCACATCAAATATGCTGCCTGGACCTGAGGAAACAGGAGGAGAACATCTGGCTCTGAGGACTGGAGAGGATTCTTAGAAGGTATCTTACCATGCAGGAGGAGAAATAAAATACTAAAAAAAAAAAACAGCATTAAGAAATAGTGAGTTTATGGTATTAAAATATTAGAAGCATATTACTGAGATTGAGTTACCAGTGATCAGTTAGGATACAATAAATATTTGCAGGGTCTTAGCTTGTTGCAAATGCAAAGTAATGTTTGTTTGTCTGAATGAATTATTATTAAAAGCAGGTCAAAAACATGGGTTTATTTCTCTTTTCTCAGTAGTATGACATAAAAGATGCACAGTTATGACTGACTTGTGAGAGAAAAATTGAGAGATTTTAAGAAATCTTAAGCTAATATTATAAAATTATTAAGAGTATATAATATTACTTTACCATTTGTTACAATTTAAAAGCTTTTTTTCTCATGAAGCTGAAGAATTTTCATGTTGCAGAATCTTATGGAGAACAGCGTTGCCTTCTATTTTGTTTACAGTGTGATTTTTATGACTTTTAGGGAAATTTTTGAGTATATTTATTATATGTTTTTATCCATTTGTTCTTGCACATTTATACTTTGTTTTAATACAAGTAGAAAATATGTATTCAAATCCCAATAATGTTATTTGAAGATATGTAGAAAAAGTAGGATATATGTATATATGCATCCACATACATGTGCAGATATGTATAGTGACACCTATGTATGTATGTATATACATATGCATATATATATATATACACATACATGTGTAATGATTAAAGTATGGTAGTTTGAAATGGGATGTATGAAATCTAAATTCTTACATAGCTCTTATATGAAATTAAGCACCTCTTAAATATATCCAACTTAGCAGCCATGTTGGGATGAAAAAAGGTACTATTAGTTCTATTATATCACAGAGAAAGTGAAGCAGATATTGAAAATTGCACTTAGGTGTCCTGCGTGCAATTAAGGAAAAATTTTGCCACTGGAATCTAAAACATAACCCTTCAAAGATTAAGATTACTGTAGGAACATTTAAAGGATGTTGTGGAAGTAAAATAATATCAAATTGGTTCAATGCAAAAAAAAAAAAAACAAAAAAACAAAAAAACAAACCCAAATTAAACAAAAGTTGATTGGTTCAAAATAGACAAATAGAGTAAAACATATTCATGAAGGGAAAAGAATCTACAGGGAAATATTCAATACAGTGCTCTTCTGTTCAAAATGCCCTAAATGCTGACTGTCAAAAGCTAGAAGGGTGCACTAGTAAAAGAATATACTCGCCAAGTTTCTTACATTCTTACCTTAAGTATTTGGATTGTTTGCTGCTGGAGACCAAATACTAGGTTAAATGGAAGCTTCATCTGATTTGGTGTAATCATTTATATGTTAGATCTGCACGTGCCTGTCTTTTCACCGTTAAAAACCGTAGTGTGACGCAGATGAGCCTCCGTATCCTCAGAGCTTCATTCTCATGTTCTTCCCTTTTTTACTCTTCTGAATTTCTTTGTTGTTGCCTGTTCTGCTTAATTTCATCCATTCAATATTTCTTGCTTTCCAAGCACATCCCTTCAAGATTCATAAAAGTCTATTGTAGAGAGTACACTACAGAAATCAGGGTTGTTGGGATTAATTTTTTTTTCCCATTTCTGTGTTGATTTCACTTCAGGGACATGATACCAGGTGGAGGCAGATAGCCCAGCGTGTAAGAGTGCCTGCAGATACTCCTTCAGAGTGGAGGACTATACAGCAATATTACATCAGAGACATCTTTCAATAACATTTTTTGTTGTTGATTTGCAAAATGAGAAATGAGGTACTAAATGAGGCTAACTTTTGCAGGAATAGATCCAGAAAATAAGATTTTCAGCCACTTTGCAAGTTACAGTGATCCAGTTGATACTGGGCACAGCTATTGTTAACATTGCTGTGTAGATTTATTTAAAATATTATATGAATGTTTATTTAAAATATTATTTTTCACTGTGTATATATAGCTAAAGATTGTAAAGTTTGACCAAGGTGACAAAGTTTCTTAGGTATTTTCCTGCTCATATCTCTATACAAACTTGAAATCTCTTTAAAATTCATATAAATTGTAGTCAGCTGATTTTGAAGATATTTCACTCATTTTTTAGATTGCTTTTATTCTTGAAAATAAAAGACAGCTGCTACTTTGGTTTTCAACAGTAACTTTGCTCAGTAAAAGGAAAATTAATTTGTTCTGTTCACTAGTGGCTAAAGACCTCACACGTATTCAAAAAGACTGCTCTCCATAGTTCCATACCTCCTAATTGAAACACAGAATGTTTTGTTTGTACCAGTTGAATTAAACCTTGGAATTGTTGTTTGGAAAACTTGCAAAACCAGATAGCTTTGTGCTTTTAAAATGATGGTTTTATTAGTGGCAGGAGCACACATTTCTAGTTTTTATTCAGATGTGAAGCCTGCAATAAAGCTGAGGACACTCAGTAATTCTATGAAATAAATGTGCATGCCCTGCAAACATCAGCACAATTCTATATATGTCACCCTTTTCAGCATCCCTATTACCATGGGCCTTGAGACCCTTGCAGTCTGAATAGTGGAGTAGGAGCTAAAGGTCTGGCAGCAGGTTGTTCCTGTCCTGTGGGGTCAGGGTGCTAGCTGTTCTCTGCAGTGCGTGGGAAGAAAATCACACTTTTTTATCCTTTCAGGGAAGAAAGCTAAACCTACTGTGCAGATTATGTCTGCAGTGTGGCAGGTGCTACACAGCTTCATTAATATGGTAATTCGATGGAGGGTTGGTTAGATGCATTCCACCAAGCAGAACTGCATTTAGTGGCTTAGTCTTAAAGTTTGTGTATGTATTTTCCGTATCTGAAACAAAGTAGATTGCTTCCCATGGAATAAGCCAGGTAATGATCTGTTGCCACAGTGATAAGGCTGGGATCTTTAGGTGTTGCTCACTGAAATCTAAACCAGAATTGTTGTCATCAAAGCAAAGTCAATGGGTTAGAAAGCATTTATTAAGTAGTAAAAATCAGCTAATATTAGTGTTTTATCTGTATGCAAACAAGTACTAAGAGTCCCAGTTTGTTGGTTGATCCCCACTATTTTGACTTGCATCAGTCCCAGACTGCCCAGGCCCTTTCCAGTCAGTTCTCTTCATCTTCCATAATCATAGCTCCTCAGCTATTTCATCCCAGATACTCCCATTTCTGTCACCTGTTTTCATGAATTTGTTTTCCTACCCACTGTCATCCTGTCCCTTCCAGTTTCTTAAACCTTCTACCATTTCTTCTAATTTCAGCCTGCAGTTCTCATTCCAACTGGGCCTCAGGCTTTCCTTCTTGCTCTTCAAGTCAGTGCAAGCTCTTCTAGTTCTGACTACTTCATCTTCTACAGATACTTTTAACCACCACACCTCACTGATACACAAATGTGTCTCTCTTGATGTCTCTGCACCAGCTCTTCTAGTTCTGGCTTCTCTATCTTCTCTCTTCTTTTCTCTTCTCTCTGTTACTTCTATCTACTGTAACTCACTGGTTTACAAGTTTTTCATTTCTTGACCTGCTGTCCCCATTCTCTGTCAAAATTCTTGTTTCTAGTTCCCTTTTCTACTCTTTTACTTTCAAATTTCCACCTCAGTCCTGGTTTCCTCCCCTTTCCTTCTTGTCCCAGCATAATCCAGGGTGCAGGTGTGACTCATGTCTCATCTGCATTTGAAAAAGGCTGCCTGCATCCAGAAATGATGGAAGTATTACTAGAGGCAAAGGAGAGTGAGTCTCTGTTCTTTTTTGATGTGTATACCTGACACAATCCTTCACAGCCTAGAGGCACTCAATTGCAGGTGGAGCATACTTGATGCAGTTTAAAACTGAGATATGACAAGTCCCTGCTTAGGTAAAATAGTAATAGACTGTGCTCTTATCATAAAAGATGGTGTGTAGTATTGTGAACAATGCATTCTTCCTGTTTTAAGTTGGATATAGCATGAGCATTGTTTATTGAACATTGTGATATAAAATATTTTTACATAATTTTGCTACAGGCCCTGGTATTTAAAATGTCTGCAAAGAGCTTTTTCTTGAACATTCCTTTCAATAATTTTGTAATTTATGTCTTCATTTCCTTTGGATAGTACTTATTCCTGTCAAGAAACTAGAGCTGGTTTGTTTGGTTTTTTTCCCTTGTTGACAAGTTATTCAGTCATTTACATTGGTAGCAGAATTGTTGAACATTTTTTTGTTGTTGTTTTTTGTTTTTCCTGCAATGAACCTTGGAAATTTTGGTCCTAAAAGATTTCAGTTTCTGTGTTCCCTAAATCACATTTATACCTAAAAAAAAAAAATAAATTATTTGCTGTCATATTTACTGCTGTACAGTGCATCTGTGTATGCAAAAGTATTGTTACTGAGGTTGTGACTAATTCTCTGTTCATCTTTATTTAAAGGATTCATCTGTGTAAGGGGGTGAAAGGAAAAATTATCTATATACTAAAAGATGCATTTTAATTTTTAAGAAATATAACAGAGAAAATAATGTTAAAAAAACTCTTGAGGAAAAAGAAAAAGCCAAATAAAAATCTCCAGTCTATCTTTTTTCTTCTAATATACAATCCAGAGCAATAAATAATAGGACTATATTCAATTAATAGTAAAATTAAAAAGAAGTCTTAACTATTATGTTTTCCACTTGTTCTTATGCACCAGGAGGAAGATGAGACTCCTTTTATTTCTACTAATTTGCCAGTGTGCCATAAACAGTGTCAAAGCATACAGTGCTTCAAGTCCCAGTGTCATTTTACTGATGGCTGATGATCTTGGTATTGGAGACCTAGGATGTTATGGGAACAGAACATTAAGGTATGATGATACAGTTGAGGGAGTCAGAGCTTTATTTTAGTTTTTCTATGGATTTGTGAAGTTAAAACCCCAAAATGTTCAGAGATTTCATTAGCCTTTATAGGTAAGCAAAGTTAATATCCTTTCTAGAGAACAGCATATTTAATCTTTGTTTTCTTAACAATAAGACTTATCTGTTTTATTTATCCTGCTGAAAAGTTGTATCATAAACAGAATTGAGCAACCAACAAAATAAGGGTAGGTCTAGAGAAGCAAAGTACAATCAACAATTGTAGTTTAAAATAAACATGACACAAGTACTATAAATTAAGCATATTTTGAAGCATCTGTGAGTTAAGCAAAGCTTGTCACTAGCCAATCATAAATAAAGTGCTGATTTTTTTTTCCTTCATCTTCATGCTGTACTCAATAAATTCATTAAAACAGGTGTTAATGTACCTAATGGAAAAATTTTTGACACAACAGTATTTAGAATTGCAACCCTACCATGGTTTTGATAATTTGCATACAATAAATCTTAACTTGATTTTCCTGATAGTTTTTTGTTTCAGATGCCTTGATCTTGCCATGCCCATTTCCAAATAATTATCTTTGTGTATTCTTTTGTTGTCTTTCCTCCTTATGTTTTTCTAGAACCCCTAATATTGACAGGCTGGCAGAGGAAGGAGTGACACTTACTCATCACATAGCAGCATCCCCACTTTGTACTCCAAGTAGGGCTGCTTTCCTGACTGGGCGATATCCTATCAGATCAGGTAAAATTCCATTGCTTTATATGTAAATATAATATTTTATTTGTAGTAAATGTATGCATTTTCTTCACTGGCTTTTCTTGCTATCTTTATCATTACTTGATTAGGTACTTATTTCAGTGACCAATAAACCTCAGTGAAGATGGTCAGCATTTCAAATCTTCCATATATATGGGAAATTCTCACATTTCAGATAAGTTAATACAAAAATAAAGCCCCTTTTTACTGAGAAAAAGATTTTTAAAATAGTGAAGAAAAAATCTGATTGTGGTGTTTTAATGTAAGGAGCAGACAAATTCCATCGATTTCCTCCACCTTCCAAATGACCTCTCTGTCTGCCTCCCCAGTCGCGTTCAGGCTGCTCCCCAGGATATTTGAGGGCAGCCTGACTGTTGAGCATCACAGAGATTCATCTAGAAAGACACAATGGAAAACCTGGTGTAAATCCTTCTGCTCAGACATTTCTGTTTCTACAAAATCTTTTGATTTAGACAAGTTGTTATTTTTTTTCAGGGTGGCAGGGAGTGGAGGAGGTGGGGGTGGTGGAGTGTATGATGGCTATTCATTAAGATGTTCTAGCAGCCCTTAATACTGGGAAGAAGAAAGAAAAAAAAAATCTCCCTTCTTTCTCAGTATTTTTGCTCCATATCTATGCATACACAGTGTTAAGTACCCCATGAATGCATGCATTTAATAACTTCTCTCACTTTTAAACTACCTGATCCAAAGCCCAGTTAAGTAAGTGAAGATCCAGTCTGTTTATTTTAGTGTGCTGGGACTGAGCCCCTTAGTGCTTAGCCATGCAACTTTAACATTCCCTTAACATCATTTTTAGCAAGGATCATTATACATTAATCAGATCACTTGTTCATTAGTGATAAAACATCCTGTCCTTTCTTCTGAGAATGAAAGCAAAGCAAGACTCTGGAGCCTACTTGATACGTTCGTGCTCATTCAAATCAAGTAACAAGCTTCTGCAAAAGTGCTAGCTGATATAACTTGCAAAATTTTCTATTACATTCAGCTGCAAAGGAAAATATTATATACCTGTTACAGCTAAATTGCTGTTTACTGCAGGTAAAGCCACAGGTCACTTTCCATTACAACCCGTGTTCTTATTTCCAAAAAATTAGCATTTGAACTGATTTATTTCTTAACCGATTGCCTCTCAGGTAAACCAGATTATTTCCATGTTTGTACAAAAATGGTCTTTGTCTTAATTAAGTGACTAAATTGCTAAATGTGGACTATTTCTAAATGTCAATGAATACTGATAAAGGATTATTATATCTAGAAGATACTAGAATCATGATGTGAAAAAAAATGTTAGAAATCTAAAAATCCTGCTAATAGAGCTGAAGAAGAATATTCCAAAATGCAGTATTGGATGAGAGACACCCCCAGAGAAAGGTAGCAATTAAAAAAAAAAAAGAGAAAAAAAAATAAATCATAGTTCTCTCATTCTGGTAACTTCAGGGAATTACAGTGATTTCAGTTACCAGACATTGAAGTGCATAAAAATAAATATGAATAAAGATATTGTAAGTAAAATATAGATATGTACAGATGACTAAAACTACCTAAACTGTTGATCAATAAAGCTAGCTGGAGTGAAAAACTGAAGTCAGTATTTGGCGGGTAAGTTGAGCTCTCTTTAATAAACCAGTCAAACAAGTCTTTTTCTTATCTAACCACAAGGGATACCAGAGGGAAGAGTCTGCTTGTCTACATCAGTCATGTAACTTTGGCACTGAAATCATACAGTTGCATAATTCAGACTTCCTGGAGATACATCTGCACAGATTTGCATAGATATTCTGTGTTCTGTCTGTCTATACTCGGAGCCAGCTCTCATCTGGAATCCTAGTAATCTAATTTTCATGAATTTGAGCTCTCAAGTTCCTCATCCTAAGAGTAGTTTATAAGCTCAAGTTTATGTTCCTCAGACTCTCAGCATATAATGTAGAAGTTACTGTGCCTTATTTAGATGTTGTCTTGTTAGCTGATACCTTATGCTTCTTTAATGCACTCTGTGTGCTTTGAATCATGGGCCTTCATACTGTTGCAGCACTGGTCCTGTCCTACCAAAGCTGAGTGCCTTATCCACTCTATTTCCAGAATCAGGCTCTGTCTTGCTCTTTTTTTCACCTCATGTTACTTACATGCCTAACTGTAAGACTGCCCTATTTCAACCGCCTTCTTTCAAATAACCTTAAAGGCTTGTAGAAAACAACGTATGAGGATTGTCGAAGTTCTGAGAGTAGAACTCGGGAGTGATCTTGCTTCATTCCCAGCTCCATTCCTTCCTCATGTACAAAAAAACTGAATTATGCAAGCTCAACTTCTTTCAGATATGTTATACCTTAGAACATCTACAGAAGGGGCTGCAGTTTTTTATGTGATGGCTGGCTCCACGACTATAAGCAGAGAATTTTTTTCTCCACTTCTCAGTTTCTGGCGTCGATGCAGGAAAGACCTTGCTCAGCTAAATGGTGATTCGGAGAAAACTCCAGGAACAAACTTGGCAACAAAGTTTTCAAGCTGACAAGCAGTTATTCTTTATTGCGGCGCCAGGAGACACGGGGGATAGCTCCTCCTAACGTGTGTCCCTGTATTGCTACACAAGCCATCCTTATATAGTCCCTTGGCATACATACGTATTCATGAGGCTACATATGGATTACATCATTTTCCAGAAAGTTCCCCGCATGCGTACAGAATTGTGGTGGTGGTCTCTGAGGGTCGTTTACTTCCTCCAACAATCTTCATCACTTCTGGCAGCCTTTGGAGCACGCACAGTAGGTGCTTATACCAGCTTAATTGGTTTGTTAGCACCAGAGACGTAATAATCCTCCTGTCCTCCTACTTATCAGTTAGTTTAACTGTAGCCCATCCTGGACACCTGCCATTCCCAGATACTCCTTATCCCTGTGTCCTGTTCTTCTAGACTGTTTTTCTTAAAACTATGTCAACTATAACAATTTATCTTGTACGAGAATTCTCAGTATGTTCTCTAGCTGTAGTCTACTTTTTTTCTGTGTATCATGCACCTCAGTAATTTTCCACTGCTACTGTTACAAAGCCATCAAATTTAACATTACTTAAAACTGATTCTAAAGGTTTATATACTTCATTTTGTAATTTTGTGCTCCCCCTTGTCTCAATGGATGATTGTATCTGCCACTTGCAACATTTAGTGTCTGGTGGCAGTATGTAATCTAAGTGATGATACCATCTAAAGCAAAATAGTGCATCCAGAAAGAATGAATGGAAATTGTTTCACTATATCAACCAAGTCTCATTCATTTTCATTGTACTTAGGAATGGCTGCCTTCTCACGAGTTGGTGTTTTCTTATTTTCTGCCTCTTCTGGGGGACTTCCTTCTGAAGAAATAACTTTTTCCAGACTCCTGAAGGAGAGAGGTTATGCAACTGCTTTAATAGGTAAAATTGCATACATATACAGAATTATTTTTCATTCATTCCAATCAAAAGAACATTAGCTTTCCATATAGGCTGTTAAGGATCTGCATTAAGCTTTTTTCCCCCACAACATAATGAATTTATTTTCCTGGCACAGAGCTGATCACATTCCCATGCATATGTGAAGCACTAATCAGGTAAGTATGTCTAATTCACTTCTGTAGTTATAGTCTCATCGTGCAAGGTACTGAAGAAACATGATGAACAAATTGAAAATTAGTCAAGCTCTTGGAAAGTTTTCAGTGCAAATAGGAGTTTGATTACAACAGAGGGACAATAAGGGATCAGTTGCAGGGTACAAGTCAGCATGGTGGTAGGATTCATTTTGCCAGTTTTCAAATATCCATAAAGTAGATGATGTAGTATGTGTACTAACCGACTGGATTCTCTTCTTAGTAATCAGACAAAAATGGGCATTTCTATGAAATCTCTCTCATCCTGTGGTAGATGTCTAATATAAAAATGTGCTTCTCTCTCATTATAAAAATAGTTCAGAGAACTAGCTGCAGCATAAATATCCAGTGATGAGTAAAAGGAATACCAGATGAATAATAAATTGAATTGGAATTAATATCATAAAGGTATAACATTTAAATAATGTCTGGAGGCTTTTTCCTAATTTTGCCATGTACTTATTCCACACTGCTTACATTTTAGAATATTTTTGTGAAATACAACTTTTATTACATAATGTATTTCTGTCAAGGAATTGCCAGGAAATAGTTGTTTAGAGAACATCATACCGGAATATTACTATGTTAATTTAGATGATTGATGTACCTAATTTTACCCAATTTGATTTTCAGTTGTAATAGAAGCTTGCAATTTTGGAAGTAATTTTTGTTTAAAAAAATCAGTGTATTTAGTATGGCTAGCAATTCATACCACTGTTTAAAAATATCTGTATGATGTAGCTAGCCAATATTGATGTTTGTAACTAAAAATCCTACTTTGCAATTCCACAGTCTGAGAAAGTATAAACTACCTTGATGTTCTGACAGAGTCAAAAGATAAACCCAGAAAATCTTAGCAGAAGTATATTTAGTACAGGTGTATTTGAATCATAGTGTAAAAAAGCCATTCATAATTTGTCATGTTCATCATGGAGTTAATTCCTATTGCTCCATATTCAGTTAAAGATTGCAAAGAATCATTTTTCTGTTTGCAAAAAGCACTGTAATACAACTCATTTTCTGGGGCTGACCTAGTTAATGTTCTTTTTTTAACTACTTTCACTGCAACATGACAGCTTGCCACTTAGATCTCCAGAAGTTATCTCCATGATGCTTAATGAACAATTCTTCCAAGTGGCCTGAATGATAGCTGTGAAACCGTAAGATGTAATATTAACATATCCTTAGAGTATAATGAAGGCTTCTAAAAATCAAGAAGTACATTAAAATTACGGATAAAGCATGTGTAAATGACAAAAAGAAAAATTATGTAGATTTGAAGACTAGATAGGCAGACTCTGATTCCCAGCCAGGCCATTTTCTGTCTCTGCTGGCATTCTTATCACATCATATTTGGTCTAGGTCAGGGAGTCTTTGCTTGGTTCAGTCTAACTCAGCAGTTCCAAAACAATTAATTGTCAAATCCTGCACCACTGAAGGACTGGCTTAAGGGTAATTTGAAGCCTTTCAGTTCCTCAAGCCTGTACTGTCAGTTCCTTTTTTTTTTTTTTTTTTATTAAGTTTCTCTTCTCTCCCCTTTACTCTCTAAGGGCACTTTTTTCTTCCCTAAATGCATTTTCGTTTCTTCTTTTTAATTTTCTCCATGTCTCTGCGTATATTCTTCCTCTTGCTTGGTACATCCTGAGATATATTTTAGCTATGAATCTATTTTATATATACTTTTTTTTTACCTCATTGTTTTTCCCCTGTGACACAAAGAAGGTGACATCCAATAGATCTGGCAGGAAGAGACACAGTCAGAAGATCTGTAGCAAAATCAAGTTTTCTCAAAAAAGGTAGATGCACTGCATATGTAATATTTCACCAGTTAAGGATCTCAGAGATTAGCAAGAACTGTTGATGTTTTGTAGGAAATGGCTATTTATAATGCAAAAATACTACTGAAAGTAGATGGATATTATTTTAACTACTACTATACTCAGTTACAGTTAGCTTTCCCTCACTACTGTTATCCAGTGTGTTGTCCAGCATCCAGAGAACTTTAAAATCCACCTATGTAGCTTGTCTCCAAAGCTTAAAATAATAATGTATAAGCTGAGACTTATATCTTTCCTCCAGAATGAGGTGTTGTAATATTTGGACACATCACAGTAGTGATGTGTCCAATAAAAAATTGGCAGAGTCTATGGAGCACAATTAATAGAACAGCTTAAAAACTGACTATATTAACAATATATGCTTAATACTTATTATTGCTGTGTACTTCATGTATATATATTACTTTGAGCACATAAAATATTTCTTTTTGGATCTTGCTCTGCATCTTGCATCTTACCATTTATCTGAGGAGCAGAACTATATCATTATATACAACTCAGATTTCATAATGCTCCCCATTCAACTGTCTGAAGAAAAAGTAGAGGGGAAACATTGATTTTTTGCAGCTTCTCCTGCAGTCTGGGTTCTGAAAAACTGAGTTCCAAATGAAGTTTCTTGGCTGAATAGGACTTGCCCCTCCTTTCCATGTGCCTTTCATTGCATTGCTCTTGCTCTGCAGAAGCCTTATTTGGGGCCAAAGGAGAAAAACAAAAATTTCAAACTATTAAGGTACAAATAATTTACAATTAACAGCATAAATCTCACTCAAAACCTTGCTGTAATCTGCTGAAATGTGTATGATGCTCGTCTGAAGTGTCCATGCTATGAAGCTTCACTTGACAAGGAGGTGAGATAGTTTTGCACTGCCCTCAGATTCACAAGGGCCCCGGATTGTAAAGCGCATTACAATAATCTGTTGAAACACTAGCTCAAGGCAGCAGTTATTGTCACAAGGAATGAAACAAAACATGTATTGTGGGCCCAGTCATCACTTGCTTTTTCAGAGTAGCACAGCATCTATCAAAACCCTCTACCTTGTCAGCCATTTGAGAATGGCAATTGTGTTTTTCCATCACAGCTGCGGACATAATTTGAGCCAGTGCTTCTGTGCTTTTCCCAGCTAACCTGCCGTCTGCTTTGTTTGGCTTAAGTTGCTTCTCAACAAATCTTTTTTTGAGACCCAAGTTCATCTTGACATTGAACAATTTGTTGTGCTTGCTAAAACCCTTTTGAAATAACAGGTCCTATATTTTCCCCTGTCCTAATTTGTTGTTGCAAGATTCTTCTGTCCTAGCTTGCAGTGTCTACTTTTATTGAGATCTAGTTTAAACAAACATCTTTGTATCCTAATAAATGACTTTGAAAGTATGCTTAAGTTGATATGGTTTCTTTTTCTTATTTTTTACTGAATTATAAGTGATTTGAGATTAAGAAGTAACAGTGAAAAAAAAAAAAAAACTTTCAGATCATTTATATTTGTGGTTATAAATCTCTAACTTTATTTCCATTACCTAACTTGATGAGAATTGTTATATCCTAACCTTGCTACATATCTGACTTTATAATTATTCTGTAAAGACAGTCATGTAAACCTAAGAGAAAAGACTGAATCATTTATTTTCTAAAATCGGTATCTTTGCTTGCTGGGAATGAAATTCAGAGTTGCAGCCTTGGCTAGCCCTTTATGGCACCATTCTAACATCTGAAAATTTGGTACAGTGGCCTGTATTTGTGGTTTTGTAATCAGTCACAAAAATGTTCACTGGACCACATCAAAAGTAGTGATGAGAGCCATTCTGCCCACAGAAAGCAGGTTTCCTCCTCAGGTGAGGAGGTATTCTGACAGTTAAGAGGGAAAATTTCTGATGGGATGAGAAAGCTATGAACACCTGCATTTCACTGGCACATAGGAGGACCTGAAAATGCTTTTATAGCTGCATCTGTAACCTGCTGAAGGCATTTCTAACCTAAGACCATCCAGAGATACACGAGGAGAAGTGGAGTCAATTAAACACTCAGGTTCAAGATTTCTGTTGTGTTTTAGTTCACCTTTGCTGTGAAAGGGAAATAATGACATTGATCCCATTTGCAAGGCACTATCTCAAAAAATCAGGACTGATCCCCATCTTCACCCCCTTTGGTACTGCAGTATCTGCATTTGTCTTTGCCAAAAGAGGAAGTGCAGGATCAATGTGCTGCTCTCTAGATCCCCAAGATGCTCAGGACTGCCTGCGTCAGGACTTTTTCTTACAGATGTGTAAAAGCTGGGATGGTGCAGGAGAGGGAAAAAATCTATTTGTCCTTTTTTCCTTTTATGTACTTTCTACCACCTGTATCCTGAAGTCTAGAACAAAAGATTTCAAATGTCTTTGGGCTAGGTTATGGGGATGAGGACTTACTGGGTTTGTGGGGAGTTTTGTTTATTTCTTTAAAGATCATGATCCCTAAAATATGTTGGTCATGTGTAGGTATTTGATTCAGAAAAAATAAATAAAATTTGACCCAGCAGTACATACTGTCATCTGTTTTGTCAAGGCTGATATGTTTGTCAAATATTGAACATAATTCTTTGCTGAGACCAAAAAGCATATAGCTGTAGCCATCATTTATGTCAATAGGCTTAACTAAATTTGATTTTCTTTTTTAATTGTGCATTTGGATTTAATGCTACCAAACAGTTAGGTCTGTGGGACTAAGTGACGCATAAGTATGTGATGGAGGGACGTACCTGAGTCATAGATTTAATTACCTAGATACTTGTCATTAGCATGAAATAGATTATGTTACTGTAATGCAAATCAGACTCTCCCTTTTCTTGTGTCAGTCAGTGTCTAACATTACTGCAGAAATACAATGATTTCCTAGTGAGACAAAATGCTGTGAAACATAGTATTTGGCAGTAATTTCCTTTTTACTATTGTTTCTTCTTTTATTTTCATATATATACACACCTATAGATATAAATATATATATAATATATATTTTATATATAAAATAATCTTCCTCACTATATATATGTATATTGTCCATTTCTGACACCTTGCAATCATTTAAATATAAATTTCATTTTCACTATTCTTGTTTTTTCTCCTGTTTGTCTGTCACTGTTTTATTTTTTGTTGTTTTTTTTTTTAAACCTAGTTAAAGGTGAATGATTTGCCAGCAAAGTTTTGGAAAATATATTTCATTACTACATATTGGCTTTTCTTAAAAAAGAAGTAGCTGCCACAGTTTTTTTATGACTGTTTAACTATATATATACAAGGGCTTAATTATTTCAAAGGGCTATGTTGCTCTTTAGTGACCTGCTAGCCCACTCAGAATTTCTTGATTTCCACCAGAACCTGTGCCAAACTGTTTCTCACTAAAATGAAGAAGTAGACATGGAACAAAGTCTTTGATGAAGGCATGAAGAGAGATTAGATAGAAGATAGAAAATAGGGATCCTCACGATAAATGCTTGAGGGCAGGGAAAATATCACATAATGAGTTTCATGTTTGGAATAGGGAACATTATAAGTTTGATGATTTAACTACAAAAATGCTCCCTGTCCTTCTCTTTTTGTAGGAAAGTGGCATCTTGGGATGAACTGTGAAATAAGCAATGACTTCTGCCACCACCCCCTCAGTCATGGGTTTGATTACTTTTATGGGCTTACCGTGACCAACTTGAGAGATTGCAAACCTGGCCAAGGCAGCGTATTTTTAAAAGGGGTTCAGAAATCCCTTGTCATCCCACTCCAAATCACTGGAATCACCCTGGTCTCTTTGGCAGTAGTGCATTACATTGGTCTCCTCAGAGTACCTTTCCGAGCACTGGGTTACTGCTTTTTAATAGCCACCATTTCACTTGTGGTTTTGATTTTCTTCTTTTATCATTTTCGCCACTTGAATTGCTTTTTAATGAGGGACCATCAGATTATCCAGCAACCACTCTCCTATGAGAACCTTACTCAGAGACTCACAAAGGAAGCTGTGCAGTTTATAGAAAGGTAGGTTTCTAATTGTGTTATAATTTAATGGTGGCATTTCACAACGATGGTGCTTCTGAAGATGTAGAAAAGGAAAAAGTGAGCTGGAGGGCATAAGGAGTATGTCATTACATATTATCAGCACTTTTTTCCTTCCAAAGATGGCTGCAGTTAATCTTTTTAGTGAAAGTGACTGATTTTTTTTCTATTGGGTATATATCTATAAAAATTAAAAACTTTATGTTTACATGCTTCATAATTTTTTGCCAAAAAAAACATTTAACTTTTTTAGGACTTTCATTCTTGAGAATTTCATCTAACTTGAGATATGAAAAATCTTTCCTGATGTGACTTAATTATGTGAAAGCACAATGCAGAGTCATAATCCATTACTTTTCTGGAATGGGAAACTGTTCATTATTGATTTGATGCATCCATTAAATGGCATTCATAAGGCCAAGTTTTTAAGATACGGTCTTTTAGGTGCCTCACTTTTATGGCAGATTCATTTTAAGAAGATTTGATTTACAGAAGTTAGGAAATAAATGGGGTTTTGACAGCAATGGTTTTTCTAATAGCCATCACGTTGGGCTACCTAAACATTGGATGTACAAAATCATCCTAAGTCATTCTTCATTTTTTAAATATTATCTACTGTGGTGTAATTACCACAGGTCTCTTAACAAGATCAAATCATAAAAGTATACAGTTATAGATTGTGAAATATAAATTCATAGAATCATAGAATAGTTAGGGTTGGAAAGGACCTTAAGATCATCTAGTTCCAACCCCCCTGCCATGTGCAGGGACACCTCACACCAAACCATATCACCCAAGGCTTCGTCCAACCTGGTCTTGAACACTGTCAGGGATAGAGCATTCACAACCTCCCTGGGCAACCTATTCCAGTGCCTCACCACCCTAACAGGAAAGAATTAAATTGATATATTTGGAGAAAAAATATTTCATCCATTTAAATTCTTGAAAAATATTCTAGAATGTTGGTCACTTTTTAAACAGGTTGCACCATTTCTAGAAATAGTTAATCAAAAGTGAAAATATGTTCTAAAATATATTCTGAGAAGTATGTACCAGGTTGTTACTGTGAATACATTTGCATAATGTTATTGCTGAATGAAAACTTACACCAAAGAATTGGCGCCTATCTTTTCTAGACTTAGTGTGGTGTTCCTCAAGACTTTTAGCAAGAAGAAAAAAAGTTTATCTAAAATCTTGATCTCATACTGCAATTGTATATCATTTCTATCTATATAGATATTTGATGTGGCCATCTGTAGTCATCATACCAAATAAAAAGTTTCTTATATCAAATTTCTTTAAGTGAGTAAGCCTTTCCAACAGCAACATTCTCATGAGTATTTATAAATAACCTAAAACATCTTTGTTTCCTCTTGGCAATGGTGATAAATATAAAGATGCCTTCCCATCTACGTTCTAACTAATTTAGCAGTGAAGTACTTTGTTTACTATAAACACACACCCCTTCAAAAATTGTTGAAAGGTTATTTGCTCAGTGACCAAGCATTTGGTGATTTCAAAAGACTCTTGAGCACATTAACTATATGCGGAATGATTCTTTCATGATTTACAAGTGTGCAGTGTGCCTGTAGTGATTCATAATGTTTTTGATATGTCTGAGTGTTGCATTGATTTCAATGCAATGACAATAAAATGGTAGCTCCAAAACAGGTGAGTTTAAGATTGGAAATCAATGCTAGAACACTACTAACTCATTTGAATGTATTACTCTTCATAATGCGGACAATGTTATTGCATAGGTTAGTGTTTAGAGCTGGCAAAACAATTTCTCATCTAAGTCAGCATAGCTTTGTTGACGCAGCTGAAGGTAAGTGACTTTACATCAGGGGGGCACTTGGCTTCAGTTCTCAGTGTAGTTCCTACACAAAAGAGATGTTAAATTGAAGTCAAGGTTAATATCACATATTCATAATTTACAATAAACTTTGTTACAGGAGCGCGGCAATTATAATGAGAATTATAACCCAAACAATTCAGAGTCAATGTTAAATTAAAGATTATCCATGCACATTAAGGTGTTGAGAAGCAATTAGGGCACTTGAGCAATCTTAATTGTGCCCTGTTCACATTGTATATGACCACAGCACTTGTTCCTGGGGATAAGAGTAATCAAATTAATATGGAGAAAAGAAGGGGACCTTATCACTCTGTGCAACTATCTGAAAGGAGGTTGTAGCAAATGGGTGTTGGTCTCTTCTCCCCAGTAAGCACAAGAGGAAATGGCCTTAATTTGCACCAGGAAGGGTTTACATTGGGTATAAAGAAAAAAATCACCAAAAGGGTTGTCAAGAATTATAACAGGCTGCCCAGGGAAATGGGCAGCCTGTCACATTGCTGGAGGTAATTAAAAGAGATGTCAGTGTGGTACTTAGGGACATGGTTTAGTGATTGAGTTGACAGTGTTAAGTTTATGGTGGAACTTGATCTAGAAGGTCTTTTCCAACCTAAATGATTCTATGAGTCTGTATAATCGTTAGATTTTGTATTTTTAAAGTCTTCTATAATTTCTTCATAGCATGTAGCTACGTGCAGTTATACTTAATTTGGTCTGGGTTTTTTTGAGAAGTGGTATTTTATTTGTTCTTCCTTAGTCTTGTGTATGTGTATTATCATTTTTCCTAGGTAAACTGAAAGAGAGTAAATACAACATTCAATGCTCAGAAATGGCACAGAAGTATATATACAATTAAAAGTGTCAGATCAAAGTGTGAAAAAACAGATACTAATTTACTTGCTCACCCTAATTGTAAGTGGGCACGTCAGCTCAGTGTATTTAATTCTCACTACTTTTTCCCAAGAGCAAGTGTGTGTACATCTTGTAAACCTATTAGAACACTCTCTAGACATTACAGTATATTTGAAAGTCAAATGGATACTAATTATTCAATATGGTTGTCACTCAGACATCTTCAGCATATCTTTTAGTGACGTGCTGCACAGACAATCCAAATTTGGACAATTCCAGAGGTCCATTTCTAACATATCAGAAATTAACAACACAAAAGTACCACTCTATGATTCAGAATACTTCTCTGACAAATAATATAGGTGATCACAAATAATAATATTAAAAAAAAAAATTCCAAATGAAATCTCACTTCTGGAAAGCAGTCTTTGCATGTAAATTTATATATGTTCAAAATCTATGTTGAAGATGAAGTTGAATGATTTTGACTCCTTTTTTTCAGTTGTAGATTGGATAGCTGTGATATTCAAAATTCTGTGATGACAGTCAATATTTTTTTTCATTTTCCTTTTATCCATTCTATTTCAGTCATTGAAGCACTGTTAGAGCATGCATTCTATTTTTTTTTTTCATCTACTCTACCAGATTATGTTTTAGAGTTTTTCCATGTATAACTAGGTCTTAAGATACAGCAGTTAGCATGTTGTACTGGAGTTAGAGTTCTGAAATCAAGTGTTTTTATGAATCCTACAAGAATATTCCTAATAGTTTACAGCTAATATAAATTGTAGAGAAGTATTTGTTTTTCTTTGTATACACATGATGCATATGTGCATGTATATTAGGAAAGGGTAGTAGTTTATAAGCCATAACAATTCTGCTGGATCTTCATCCCTTTTTCTCAGTTTTCTGCTTGTTCTTTTTGAGCAAAAAGCTAACAGGAAGAAGCTGTGAATTCGTATACTTTAGGGCCATCTGGAAATGAAAGATTTAAGTAATTTAAGAATTAAGGACCTAACTTGTTCTGTGATGAGTGACAGACTGCATTGGAAATGGAACACTTCTAAAAAGTAGCAGATCCATAAACCGGGCTCCAAGGCTTTGCAGGGGAAAGGGATTTAGTAATGAGTATAATTTTTAGTAAATGAGAAATTTCTTTCTTTTTTTTTTCCCCACATGTTTAAGAGAATATACTCTTTGAAAGGAAAAAAAAGCTTATATAGAAGGGAGATAAAAACATATATGAATTACGTTTCTTAAGCATTTAAAGGAAGAAATATTCATGAAATTAGAGATGTCAAAAGTAACTTGTCTGTTTGCATCATCCTACTTTTTTATGTCTTCTAGAAAGACTCAGGTTTTACAAGTTTCTACATTTTTTTCCCTTATTCCATTTTCAACACCTTTTTTGGTTTTGATAATTTACCTCTGAGTGATCTGGATTTCTCTTTTCAGATTAGGAACATTTTGAAAATATGAGATCTGTGTTTTAAGGTGTGTCATACGTGTGAATTAGCTGGAATTCATAAGACTTTGGGGATTATGGAAACAATTGTTAACCCAGTGTTAACACAGCACAGCATTTCCCCAACTCAGGGAAAGCCAAATATATCTGTTTTATAGTCAGCTGTTGTGAATTGTAGTAGCTTCACTGATATAGGGGGTGTAATGGTCTAAAAAGTTAAAATTATCTATTTTATGACAGAATGTTAGGATAATTAATTAGAATGTTGGGATACTGTTAGGATAGTAAAAAAAAATGTTCAGAAGGATCATATTTGTACATCATATTAAAGGCTAATTTAGAATTTATTGTGAAAAAGTAAATAGAATTGCCATTATGGCATATCCACATCTTGTTTCAAGTACCGAATCATACTTGAAATATCAATTTGATTTGCAAGTGCAGGAAAACAAATTCAGAGCCCCACCTGTTGCTCTGCTGCAGTAGTCTTTGATTATTAGATTAACAGCAGTGAACAGAAAAGCAAACAAAATTACCTAAGGAGTTTTCAGTGCAGCAAGCATCTAGAGCAAAATTGCAGGAAAAAAGACCCGTTTGTGAAGCACAACGTCATATTGGTTGTACCTTGCTCTCTCACCCCTTTTAAAGCTGTGCTTTACAGCTCAAACCTGAGCTGAATCCTTAAGTAATGTAAAAGTACACGCTAAGAAAGAAGGACCTAGTACTCTACAATGCAGGGGAGTCACCAGCAATGTGATGCTTTTAGGTGTTTTTGAGATCAGTTAAATGCACATGAAAGAATGTCTTATGTCACATATATGTAATCTCTCTGGGTACTGAGTAAATTGAAAAGACTGTGATTCATAATATAGTAAAAAAAAATTACTATATTTGAGTAAGTGAATCTCTGATCTCTTGAAACTGAAGTTCCCTGTGTTAGAACTGTGTAAAAGATAGTGGCAATACATTTTTGAAGGTGCTGTTTACTGAAGTGGTTCAGGAGTTAAGCTGTTATTGTCAAATTTCTCTCCTGCCTACTAGCTGATTGTTATTCCATTTTCAAGGTCACGGTAAAGGTAGACAGCTAGGATTCTTCTCAAAGAGTTTTGGCAGGAGATAAATAGCTGCCTGTGATCTTTTATAAGATATTAATAGGTAAGACACTTCTCCACCTGACAGCGAACTGTCAGTCAGATCCTGTCAATTTGAGTTGCAAAGAAGAGAATGATGAAGTGCCCTTCCATATCAATCCTTGATTAGATGGCTCTTCATGAAAGTTAGATCTTTGTGTCAGTTCCATTTTAAAAAAGAAAAGAAAACCAACAGCAACAAAACCCACAAAACCCCCACAAACCAAACCTGAATTATTATCTCTTGAGAATAACATTTACAATGGAGGCTTTAGATACTCGTAGCAATGCAGGTATACATTTACAGTAATATGATATCTCTGTGATCACAGAACAAGGCAGTTGCATGGAAAGTAAATTGTGACTATGCCATTTTAAGTATAAAGTAAATTTTTGTGGTGTTTTACTCCAAACTTTGTATATTACTCTCAATTCAGTGAACTGTGCTTAAGGAAAAAATCAAAGATAATCCCATGCAGTAAAAAGTTGTAAACTGAGAATCAGCTGCCTTGCAGAAATGTTCTTTAGTGAAAGGTCAGTGTTACATTAATGTACATATTAAATATTAAACTTACTTATATTTCTTTTTACTTGAAGGGCTGATATTTCCAGTCTTCTTAATTGATTCAGAAGTCTCATTTATTGTTACAATAATGTAACAGGTATGACCTCTCAAATAGTAACACAACTTCATAGAAAGTGTATATTTTATGAAAAATATTGCCATTTTGCTTTTTTTCTTTTTTGAATCTGTACTGTATAATAGTGAGACAATACAGGATATGTGCACAAATATTTGAAGGGAATTAATTTTGTTTCCATTTTCCACATGAAATTTTTTTATTCTGTCATTTACATATTTTTTTTTTTTTAAAAGGGAAAATTTATATGAAAAAAAAGTCCCAGTCAGAAACATCAAGTGAGTAGTATGGATCAAATTTTCTGATTTTGTGCTTATGTACTGCTGTGTACGTAAGTAAAAAAGAAAGCTTTTACCATGCAGCTTGTATAAAACCAGGGAAAGAGGAAAAATGGATCATAAATATACTAGATTATATCTGCTTATTTTCCTGAAGAATAAACTGTTGACATCAGCTTAATACCTTTTATTAAAAGACTTTGTTTTCAGGTTCTAAAGGTTAGAATTTTTTTTCTTTCCTTTTAAAGAAACAGTTTGTGTGTGCATGTCTGTATTGTTCCTTCCCTCTTTAAAGGGTGGATGAATCAACTCCATGTGGAAATATATAGTCTCCCTTCAATGTTGATGTGAATCACAGGTATTAGCCACCACAGACTGGCGAGAGAAAATATGGTAAATAAACCCAAAAGTACTCTGTAATTTACTATGTGCTTTAACGTGAGATACAGAAAAGTTTTCTGGGAAGTGCTTTTGTGATTCAACTGATATTTACAATATGCATAATGCACTACAAATGCTGTTAGAGCGTATAGCAGTAAATTTGGCTAGTGCCGCACAATTTTAAGCAAAGTTCTATAAATAATGCATAAGTAAAAGTTCCTACTTGAGCTGTGCTTTCGCAGCCTGCTGGAATTGATCATAAATATCATGTTGACAGATCACATGAAGAACAACATTTACAGAGTTTATTTACTGTACTGTTTTCTTTTGTATCAGTTCAGGATATAGACTGAAGACAATGGAGACTGTGAGAGGAAAACTCTTTGTATTTGTATTAGTATGTACTTTGAGATTACATATTCTTTGGTGCAACATACTTACAGTGTTACGTACTGTTATTCATTTGAAAATACACAGAAAGAGCATTAAATGACAAGAGATTTAGTCATATACCTTAGTCCAGGATAAAGGAGGAGGAAAAGTACTAGTATTCTTGGTTTAACATAGTTATGATGTTATGGTATGTTTGACCCTGGTCGTCATACAGTCTAGTTATCAACTTCCAACTAGTTATGACTTTGTGAGGAAGGTAATTGTGTTCCTTGTATATATGCATATATAGTTTGGAAGGTATGTTTTTGAACAGCAATTATGTTTGGGCTTTTAAGTATGTACTTGTGAAATGAAGAAAGGTGCTTGCAGCCAGAAACTGGCTTTAAACAACTCTTTCAATATATATAGCAAACAGCAATTAGTTCAGTTTTGTCATTTATTATTGCTTTCATTTCAGTGTTCAGCGTGTGTGCCTCTGTGTGTGTGTGTGTGTGTGTGTGTGTGTATGTGTGTGTTCAGGGTTACCTTGTAATCAGTCACAGTATTACTTTTCATCCTCTATTTTGTTTTTGTTGTTATTGTTTTGTTGGTGTGGTAGAAATTTTGTTATAAAATATACTAAGTGTTTGGGCTTTGTTTTGTTTCTTTTTTTTTTCTGTTTTTCAGGAACACTGATGCACGGTTTCTTCTTGTCTTGTCTTATCTTCATGTCCATACTGCTCTATATGCTTCAAAAAATTTCAAAGGAAAGAGCAAGCATGGTTTATACGGGGATGCAGTGGAAGAAATGGACTGGAGTGTAGGTATGTTACATGTCCTTCTAATAGCAGTGGAGGGAATTCGTGGAAGACTTATATTCACCAAATACAGGCTTCTATGGTTTGGATGACTACAGTATATCTGAGATGCTTGTCTTTTATACTTAGAGGAAAGAAACAGTTGTTTAAAAGGCACAATAATTTGACCTCTTGTAATATCTACTTTATGGCAAAATTTATTGTGTCCTACAAATGTCTGCTCTGTTCTTTGACTATGAATGTAGTAGCCTGTATAGTATAGTCTCAGCAGAGATACGGACGCCATAAATGCAGACATTTGAAGCAGAATAGTTAAATCATAGAATCATAGAATGGTTAGGTTTGCAAATCCAACTCCATGAGCTTCTGGGTGCTATTTGGCTTCTGCATGTTGTCTTCATAAAACAATATACTAATTTGAAAAGTGACCACATTATATTGATACTAAAACATTTTCAAATACAGTGACTACAACATGCAGTGTTGCTAAAAGTAATTTGCTAATTATTTTAATGATTTTTGTGAATTAGTGAAATCACTCAGGTGTGGTCCACTTCTGTTCATGAAGAACAGTCAACACCAGACAATTTGCCCTTCAGAGCCTTCCATTGTCTTTGAGACTGGAGAGCAGTTGTTCATTACATCTTTCAACAGGCTTTCTGTACAACAGTTCATATTTGAAAATAGATAGATTGGAGCATAGCAGCATTAGGAGCTAAAGATGACCTTGCATTCCTCCTTCCCATATACCTCAAGTCAATTCGTTCTCAGTACAACTCAGTGCAAATTGGCTTTCTCCAAGAACATATTGCTTCCTTATTAAATTGCTATAAACAGATACTTAGTTTTGGTGCATACATATTTTTAAACTATGCAAGCATGTGCACTTAAACATCATGTAAATTTCTTTGCACATTTTGCATCAAGAATTCTAGTTGCAGAAGCTAAGGGACAAAAGGCAGTATAGCACATTTACTGATTTGTAATGTATTTAGTGCACTGTTTGGAAAATGGGGAAAACCCTTGTGATACAGGAGGAAGGGTTTTCATGTGGCAGATAACAGAAAAAATCCCTCTTTTTCTGAATTAGGTTTTGTAAAGAGAGAGTGGCGTTCATTCCAGTTGTATCACAACTTGAATCATTATCACTTTCTTAGTGGCCACCATCATTTGGTCAATCAAATGCTCATATTAGGTAAAAGTATGCATGTGTTGTCATTTGTTTGCATCTGCATTGTAGTAAGCTACTGAGCATTAGCTGGTCTTACAGTCTGTGACTGATTTTACTATTTGTTTTTCTGTTCTATGGTATTTAGCTTATTCCAACCTAATTGGTCATTTGCTGCTGCCATTATGTTTTTCTCCCTCCTCCAGGAGAGTGGCTCCGGGGCTTAAACAGCAAGTTGGAAACTAGGGCAGCTGAAATGCCGCTGGTTTTGGCTATTTAATGATGCAGAGGTGGTAACAGATTTTAAAACACTCCTCTCTTCCAGAATGACCACAGGCTCTTAGGAGATGTGTCAAACAAACCAGTTTTTGTAAGACAGAAGCATATTATTAAAAAAGCTTGGGATAAATCAGAGATACAAATTTAATGGTGCTAACAGGAATTTTAAACAAACTCAGAGGAGATAAATGAGTTTCCTCTTGTACTGTCCTTTACAATTCATTACAGGAGCATCAGGGGCAATAGAGCTAGCTTAATCAGGAAACAGATCCTCAGCTGTATACAGGCATCAAGTCTTGTTTCAGTTGGGGGTCTGGTTATGTCAGTTGGTTTTGCTTAAGTCTTGTAAGATTCCTCTGTTGACACATGGCATACTTGCTCCAGGAGGTAGAAAATGTATTTAGTTCCATTCTTACTCTCTCCTCCAATATTAGAATGGTGAAAAAAGTTATGGCTGGCATTTCCAAAGGAGTCTGAAGGAATAATATAACTTCTTTTCTTTTTTAATTCTTTTTTTTTTTTTTTTCATTTGAAGGGAGTGCTTATTTTCATTAACCTCCACTGAAAATTCCAGTGCATCAGCTTTATCAGACAAAGTAGATTTATTCACGGTATTGCTGATGTCAGTAGCCAGTACTTTCTTGAAATGCCTCTGAAGATGTAACAGTAGAAAAGTTAAACAAAATTTTCTGGAAAAGCTAAAAAAGATAAAACTATAAGCTTTCCACAAAGGGAGGTTTTATTATCCACTAGACAGAAATTATTATTTATGCATAGATGAATGTAACTTGCAAAAGCAATAAGAACAAAGCAGCCCAGATGTAACAACGTGATGCAAAACCTTATAATAAAAGACAACGCAAGCATAAGAAATAAAAATAAGTGTATGGAAAACTGTGTTATAGCACAATATCATAAATGTTTGGGAGGAAAAGAAACAAAAGCTTTTACTCAGTTCTGAAAGAGGCTTAAAATATGTTATCCAATGGTTAAAAAATGTAGAATCCCTTGTGGATGACTAAACCAAAAAAAGGTAGAATAGAAGTTACAAGTAGAAGTTAATACTGTCAGGTACCAGTGATGAAAAAGTTGTATCAAGATTGGACCATGAAATGCAAATGAAACATTGTTCCTGATTTGAGAGGTCTTCTAGATTCAGAAAAAGTACTTTAGTTGCCATTTGCAAGAGAAGAAGCAACAGTCTTTCTATTAAGACAGAGAGGTCCACAATGAATGAGAATTCTAAATAAAAACCAATTCTATTTTCATTTGTTTATTTATTGGGAATCAGTTACCAATTATTCAATTATAAGACAATCCCCATTCTAGGAAGGGAAAAACCTATAAGATGCATGAATAAAATACGGCTTTGAATATTTCATATTTGTGACTTATTGAACCAATACTGAAGGGTATGATTACAGTCCATGTCAAAAATGAGGAATACAAAGTCTCTGGGTAAGCTTTGGGTCCATATATGTGTACTGCATTTGCATACTAATGTGTGTATAACAGAATTTAATGTTTAAAGCATTCACAGTTATAGTGTCACTGCATGTGACATGCCTTAGAGAGTTATTCTCTGGCTAATAACATTAATTTTCTTTCAATGCAGGCTAAGCACCTTATTAATTCTATTAATAATAATTCATATGAGAGCAGATAAAATAATCCTACAGTCCAAAAATGGGAAAAGAAATGATGAATGTATGAATGAATTCAATATTACAATTTTCTTCCTTCCTTTCCTTCTTTCCTTCCTTCATTCCTTCATTCCTAATTGAGTATAGGAAGAGAAATGAATATGTTCAGAAATAGTTTTTGATGTGGATAGCATTACACTAATATAAAAAATATCACAGCAAAGAGTTTTGGAGCCCCCTGTAGACTTACACACAAGCTGTGTGAAGACACACTCAACATCACTTTTGCAAATGGTTGTTTATTGTTCTGCTAACAATAGAAAAACTACATATCGCTTCTTAGTCCTTCATAGAACAATCACAACTGAATGGCTTAAGTGTAAAAAAGTCTCACAAATGGTAGTCTGGCATATCCTTGTCTGGATATCTTTATTATCTAGATGCCTTACAACCTTCAAAATCTTAACTGTCTCTCTGCAATGATCTTCTGACCTGTCTTAAGATCAAGTTATGCCAAGAAAATATTACCGTCATCTGATGTTAATAAATTAGAAGAAAATGAGCAAAAATAAATCCCAATGCATCTTGATTGTAACTGGTGTTTGAAATATTTTGAAAAGTTTGGTAGGGTTTTATACAAAGAGAGTAGTTCCGTATCTCCACAATAGAAGATGTATATGGAGCTCGTGAACAGTGTCCAGCAAAGGGTCACAAAGATGATTAAGGGACTGAAGCATCTCTTCTATGAGGAAAAGCTGAGACAGCTGGGACTAGAGATCTGTTCATCCCAGAGAAGAGAAACCTGGGGTAGGATCTTATTAATGTGTATGAATGCTTGAAGGGAGGATGCAAAAAATATGGGGCCAGGCTCTTCTCGTTGGTGCCAAACTGAAACACAGGAGGTTCCCTGAACATCAGGAAAACCTTTTTTACTCTGAGAGTGACCAGTCACTAGCACAGGTTGCCCAGAGAGGTGGTGGTGTCTCCCTTCTTGGAGATATTCAGAAGCCATCTGGGCATGGTCCTGAGCTCCAAGTGGCCCTGCTTGAGCAGGTTGTGTTGGAAAAAGTCTTATCCAGAGGTCCCTTCCAACCTCAACCATTCCGTGATCCTGTGAGATGCTAGAGAAAAGAAAAAAGCTATTCACTGAATTCATGCTTTGAAAGAAAATCAGACATAGCTATTAGAAGTCAGTCCAGAGTAACCAAGGAAATCTTCACTGAAGCAAACAGAATCAAGATACTCTTACGATACTCTTGTCCTCTACTCCACTCTGGTGAGACCCCACAAGCAGTACTGCATCCTGCTCTGCGGTCCCCAGCAGAAGAAAGACATTCACTTGTTTGAGCAGGTCCAGAGGTGGGCCACGAAAACTGTCAGAGGGATGAAACAATTCTGCTCCAGGGACACCTTATTTCTGCCTTTAAGTATAGGGAGGGGTCTTATAAGAAAGATCTACAGAGTTGTTACCAAGGTCTGTGTTGACAGGACAAGGGGCAACAGTTTTAAACAGCAAGAGAATAGTTTTGGATTAGGAAGAATTCATCTACAATGAGAGTGGTGAGATCCTGGAACAGATTGCCCAGAGAAGTTGTGGATGCCCCATCCCTGGAAGTGTCCAAAGTCAGATTGGATGGGGCTTTGAGCAGCCTGGCCTACTGACAGAGGTACTTTCCCATGGCAGGGCAGTTGGACTAGATGATCTTTAAAGGTCCCTTCCAACCCAAACCATGCTGTGATTCTGTGTTACTACAGTGGTGACATTTTGAGGATACCAGTGATACCTTAAAAAGGTTTTACTTACAAGGAAATGCAGTACCTTACTTCTTTAAACTGAAAATATTTACATAATTAAGATCTTTGGTGTCTCAATAAATTTAACCTTACCTGAGGAACATTTATGACTTTTAAAAGCA